AAAAAAAAAAAAAAAAATAATAGTTAATGTTCTCTACAAAGGTTTCTCCAAGAAATAGTTGAAGGCTTAAGATTATCTTTGATTTCCAGCTTTTAAAAGTCATTATAACACACACAAAAAACAACTTTTAACTAAAATTAGGCATTATTTTCATTGTGTACAGTGCCTTGGTTTGAAAATGGTTACTGACCAAAAAAGTTTTTTCCTCTAGAATGTTATCCTTTTATATAGAGCATTTTAAAGAATTAGCTAAATCATTTTGTAGTATAAGAATTTTGTTAGGGGCGCCTGGGTGGCTCAGTCATTAAGTGTCAGCCTTCGGCTCAGGTCCTGATCCCAGGGTGCTGGGATTGAGCCCCGCATTGGGCTCCCTGCTCCGGAGGAGGTCTGCTTCTCCCTCTCCCACTCCCCCTGCTTGTGTTCCCTCTCTCATGGGTCTCTCTCTCTCAAATAAATAAATAAAATGTATTAAAAAAAAAAATTTGTTACAGTAAATTCTGTTTTTTACAGGTTTGCATCCTGGACACTTAGAGCTGTATTACAGCTATTTTTGTTGATTCTACTGAGTTTACAAATAATTTTCATTATTACAACAAAGTGATGTTTTATATTATGCTTACCTTTTCTAGGACTTGCATTTTTATTGATGGATGTTAAAGAATGCTTTATATCAGCTGAAGAAATATTTCTAGCCAAAATTGAGAAGTTTATTAATATTCACCAAAAGAGTTTTTTGGTTCTGTCTGCTGCCCTCCATGGGCCTGAGGAATGGAAACTGATGTTTAGGATTCAGCAGAGGTATGGAAGAATAGTACTACAGACTTTTCTTAAATCACATGTGTTTACTTTAGTTCTTAATCCTTTTAAGCAGTTGAGTTATGTTTTGCCAAAAGATAAACATTGTAATGTTAACTTGTCATATTTAATAAAATGCAGGCCTAATGGCTACCCCAAGAATCAGGGTGACAAGTTTCAGAGTTCATGCTGATTTCTGAGATTTTCGTGCAAGACCAAAACAAAAGTGAACACTTTTTAGTCTATTAAATTCTGGGTATAAAGCCGTATCATATCCTCTGTGGAATAGGGCAGGGCATGAATAAATACATGACAAACAATAAGAGGTTTCTGTCTCCTTTCCGCTTAACAGATGTCTGTATAAGTTATATGATCTATTTATGAATTATTTTTCAGATTCCTGGGTAGTAATTTACGGATACTTCCAGTACACAACACAGTAAATGCTATTAATCTTATGTGCACTATAGCTAAGGTGAGTCACCTAGGAAAATGACGCATACATAGCACTCATAGATTTTAAGGTCTTGACTTCAAAATGCACACCCTCTTAAGCAGGATTAACAAATACTCTGCTTCTGTTCCCCTCAGAAGTTGCTCTTTCAGTATGCAGCTCTTTGAAGCCTGAACTCAGCCTATCATCTTCTCAGTTTACTTCCAGTAGCCACTACAAGAATGACTAACTTTAGGCCAAGAGCATTTGGCATATATACATTGTGTTGGCCCTACTGGTTTCTTAAATCTTCCTTCAAGTTCTAAAGTACAATTATTGATCAGGTTGTAGACAAGAACTGTCAAAGTGCAAACATACTATTTTATAGGATGATCTTCACAAGTTGTCCACTTGGTTTTCATGCTTGTCCTCCCCTGTGAATTGTGCCCTAGGCAGAGTTAGATGTTTCTTACTCTTTCTTATACTTGGAACAGATCTCCATATTAAAGCGGTTCTTAAAGTATTCTACTTTTGGCTTGTTGGAAATTCCTTAAAGACAAAGACCAAGCATTTTTCTGTTACTCATAATTAACTCATACCTAGTATTTAGCACAAAGAAGGTGATTTGATACCTGTTGAATAAGTGAAAGTTTTTTATATGACCCTGTAAAAATTAGTTATTTTTATAAATATTTCTGTAAATAATGTTGCATGTTTGTAACTTCTTACAGACTGCCTCCAAACCATACAGAGACAGCATTTGCTATAGAATGATAACAACTGAGGCTTACATCATTGAGCAAAGTCCTGTTTGGAAGACACTTCAAAAGTTAAAACTGAGTAGTGATTCATTTAATCCAAATTAGAGTATCAATTACAAAAGTTCTTTTGCAAGAATGTTAATTACCAGTTAAATTATAATGTTCAAATATATATTTAAAGATTTTTAAAAAATTTAAAATAATAAAATGTATATGATCAAAAATGATTTTCAGTTTTGTTGATAATCCATTTAATAATGTTTAGAAAAAACTGGTACATATATTATAAAACTCAGATGCAGTTCCTTAGTGATACAAATTAAGGTGGATGGAAAATACTTACTACAAAATAAAAACACAGCATTTTCTAACTAGCCCCTTAGACTAAAGGAAAACTCACACTTTTTAGCTTTTCCACAAGGGCTGCCAGTATTTCTAAAATTAATGTTTGCAGATGCTTTCATATTATAAGTGCTGCTAGAGAGGTGGTGATGGACTCTGCCCCCTAGACTCCTCCTGAGGTAGGGAAAGAAAGAGAAATTAAGGGGTGCCTGGTTGGCTCAGATGGTTAAGCATCTGCCTTCGGCTTGGGTCATGATCCCAGAGTCCTGGGATCGAGCCCCATGTCCGGCTCCTGGCTCAGCGGGGAGCCTGCTTCTCCCTCTGCCTCTCCCTCTGCCTCTCCCTCTGCCTCTCCCCCTGCTCGTGCTCTCTCTCTCCCTCTCTCTCTCTGTATCTGTGTGTCTCGAATGAATAAATAAAATCTTAAAAAAAACAAAAAAGGGAAATTCTGAGAAGCAGCCAACTGGCCTAATTGAAAACCTCTCCTGTATACTTTTACAGTGGTGTGATATCCTATTTGACACCAGGAATTCTGAAGTGTAACAAAGCATCTAATTGGAACATAAAGTGTAAAATGTATTTATAAATTCACTACAACTGTATGAATGAGGGCAATACAACTACATTTTATGAGATTATAGTACAAAATTATTAGTTTGTATTGGATTTTCAACAGAATTTAGAATACATATTTGGGCATTATTTACCATGTAAACTATCTTTTTAAAACCAAAGAATACTACTGATCCATAATGTGTCATCACAGAAACCAGTATGAGAAAGGCTACCTTTATTTTTCTAGCAGTGTCTTACAGAAAAGTTTTTATAAGGGTATTAAATAATCATAATGGAAAATACAGTATTTTACTAGTTTTTATTTAGGAAATGGAGGTTTCACTTTATCCCAATATTTTCTTCCGGAGTAGACTTTGTTTTTATTTCAATGAGTTCTTCTACTCGAGCCAGAACACTTTCAATCAAATCAAATGTGAAAAGAGCTGAATGTAGGACCTGCAGTGCCAAGGGAAATTAGTGTTATATTAATGTTGCTGTTAAAGCAAAAAAACAAGTCTTCAGCTGGATATAGCTTAGGAAAATTTCAGATCTACCTTAAGCTGCATTTCAGGAGGCATATTAGGGATCTCTTCTCCACCTACAGTTACAGAACAAAGATCTTTAGACTTCTGGACTTCTGTAAGAGAAGAAAAAAAAAGTGTCACATTTAACCATTAAAACAAATCTCAGATTTCAATAATTTATAAGCTACTTTCATTATTATACCCCTTACACTAAAAAAAAAAATTTCTAGTAATGCCTGTAAGAAATACTCCATAGCTATACAGAAAAGAGCAGCAGATTATTATAGAATTGCTTGCTGACTTTAAAAAGTAATTCTGGATCTAAGATTCTTTTTCGTAATTTGTACAGATTTACTTGAGGGTGAGGATGGACAGAGCCATACCCAAGTTAGTGTAATATCCAAACAGAAATACTTGTAATACAATTATATTCTTAATCAGAATTTGATTTTAATCTGGTTTTAAACCAGAATATGCTTCAATTTGGTTTAAATCTTTGTTAACCCAATTTCAGGGTTAACTGGCTTACAGATCTGCTAAAAATCATTTTAATTATAAATAAAATGACTTAGCTGTCATGGTTCCATGTTAGAAAATAAACAAGTATGAGATTTGAAAAAGTTCTTTATTTTGAATATAACTGACAGTTCTAAAATTTGACTAATTTTTAGACCTAACCAAAAATGAAATTGCACATTACCAACCTTGGCTATTTTCTTGGCTATTTTTAATTTCTGCTTCATAATGTGCTTTTGACATATTAAGTCCTGTATGGAGTGGCTTTAAGAAATTATTCTCAATCTTTCCAAGTTCTGTCCATAATCCAGTCTGTTCAGAAGAATTAATGAAAGAATTAGTTATTTGGTTCAACATTTCTTGATTGCCTACTATTATTAAACACACGTTGAGAGTTGGAGAAACAAAAATAAAATCTAATCCTTGCCTTCCAAGATAGTTTCCTATTTAATAAATACGTTCATTATTACATCTAGTTATTTTATGTGAATACCAATACAAACAAAAATGTACTCTGGACAGTGTACTCATTAATACACCATTTGGACAGCTCCTGATTTTTGAGATCTGTAACTCACAAGTTTTATTCATGAGAAAATTATTTGAGAATAATCCTTAATGATGAGACATTTCTTTTCCTGTAAAAACCATCGCTACAATGACTACATTATATATTCCTTTAACTCATGACCTTTCAATTGATATCCTTGTCACAGATCTTGTTCTAGAGGATTCCTTCCCTTCCCTATTGATAGAAACATTTTTTTTAAAAGATCTTATTTTTTGAGGGAGCAAAAGCGAGAGGGAGAGGGAGAAGCAGACTCCTCGCTGAGCAGGGAGCTCAATGTGGGGCTTGATCCCAGGACCCTGAGATTATGACCTGAGCTGAAGGCAGTCGCTTAACCAACTGAGCCACCCAGGCGCCCTAAATCACTTTCTTTTTATCTGAAGAATGTAATTTAGAAGTTACCTCAATGAGTATCTTCTAGAGGTAAAAACTTATTCTCAGTTTTTGTTAATATCAAAATATTTCTGTTTTCCCCTTGATCTTGAAAGATATTTTAAAGGGCAATTTAATTGACGTATAACTTACATACAATAAAATGCACACATTCTAAATGTACAGTTTGATGAGTTTTGACAAATGTGTATACCTGTGTAACCACCACCCTAATCAAAATATAGAACGTATGCATCAGTCCAGAAAATTCCTTCATGTAGTCATTTGTAGTCATTTCTTTTCTCACTCCTTGCCTGAAGCAACTGTTGATCTGATATTTATCACTATAATTAGTTTTGCCTGTTCTAGGACGTCATATAAGTGGAATAATATAGTTGGTACTCTTTGTGCCTTGCTTTCATGTTATTGCATATAACAATTTGTACCCTTTTATTGCTGGGTAGTAGTTTAGTGTATGAGTATACTACCCCAATTTATTTATCTGTTCACCAATAGATGGACATTTGGGTTTCCAGTTTTTGGCTGTTATGAATTAAAGCTGCTCTTAACCTCAGTATAGGTCTGTATGTTTACATGGTTTCATTTCTCTTGTAAATACCTAGTAATGGAATTGCTGGGTCATATGGGTCATATGTTTATTTTTATAAGAAATTGCACAACTCTTCTCAGGTTCAGTACAAATGAGCACTGAATCTATTTAACTGTGTAACTAAAATAAAAATAAATGTGGGGATTATGGTTTTATATTCCCATCAGCAATGTATGAAAATTCCAGTTGCTCCAAAGTGAAAGATAATTTCACTAGATTTACAGATACTTTCTTACAGCATATTGAACTCATTTCACTAGATTCTGACTTTCATTGTCGCTGTTGATAAGCTAGCAGTCAGTTTGTCACTTCTTTGAAGATTACCTGTCTCTCCTCTTTGACTGCCTTTCAGATTTTGGCATTCTCTAGTTTTTTTTTTTT